ACAATTTTAAGGTAAAATAGGTTTATAACAATGATGATATTGTTGTTAACCGATACATGTACGCTTATATGATAAACACAGGAAAGTAGGGATATTTTTATTTTCATAATCAAAATTAACAGCATGTTTATTCGTTCCAAATATGCAATTTAAAGATCCGTAATTGTAAAGGGTAATTTAATAAAGATCATTAGAATATTATAACAAGCTATTTTTGTTGAAACAATGATTTTTGTTCCTTGTTACTTTGCTTGTTAGATTAAAACGGTAAACAAAGTCAAACGAATGCGATTTCACCTGATTTCACCTGATTTAGTATTATATTACTGTGGTTTTCTCTTTTTCTTATCCACATAATTTTCTATAAATCTTAACAATGGCAAACTCTTCAGACAAGAAGAAAAGAGTATTATAATTTCAATTTGTATAATTTTTCTCGTATCTGATTTGTAGAGGCCATTTGTAAAAAAGGCAGAAATAAAGACACGTTTCTTTTCGTCACAAAATAAAAACCCCAAAAAAGTAACAATGGACGTGCATCTGAATACGACTGCTCTATAGTAGTTATCATGTTCTCTGTTGCCTCCCAATGAATGAGCGTGCTCTTTTTAATCCCGACAGACAGTGTAACGGGAGTTGAAGTTATTTCAACTCCACTCCAGTAACTTAATACACTGTGCATGTATGGGTCAACAATTCAACTCATATACATTTTCAATAGAATTGAACTATGATACAATCGAAACTTAATTTCGTCTGCCTACTTTTTGTACACGATATTTAAGTAGACATTAAAATTGAAAGAAACTATTTAAGTTCTTTATAATTCTGTGCCTTTTCAAAGTTGAGCTTTCAATGAGATTGAGCATAAAATGTATGGAAAAAAATCAAATTGATGTATGTACAGATATTCTATTATCAACATTCGTGAAGGTATGTGCATCTAGTTTTAATGAATTTTAAGATATTTGAATTTATAATTTAATGTAGTTTAAAGGCTTTTATCACAGGAACATTTTAACACGAAAGATAAAGGCGTTAAAATATCCATTCATTACCCGGAAGGATAAATTGAATTAAAATCGTTTATGCAAGTACTCACGACTTTGGACTATATAATTGCTTCATTATGCATTTCTTTCTTCAATTAAATGCATGTCACGGTTCATAGCTGTTCACTATTTAGAAGAGAAAGTGTGTAAGCGGCCGGATCGCTCAGTCGGTAAATCTGCGGTATAGTGTTTCGAGGGTCCCGGTTCGAGTCCCGGTCAGGCTGTACATTTTTCTCACCCTTTGAAATTTGTACAGCGGATCTACCGACTGAGCTATCCGGCCTTCTGTTGTCGTGTATAGAGATCTGGGAGAAGGATCTTGAAGACGGGTGATGCCTCGGAAGAATTAATCACAACAAAATAACATAAACATTGCATACTCGCCTTGATTGAGTCGGTACATGACGATAATTGCAAAGAACAGCATCCCTCATGCCTCCTAGCACTTGATAGGAATGGTACTAAGTTCTCACTTCTTAAAGTGTTTGGAATCAATGGTTCCGAAGAGCAAGAAAAAATATAACAACAGAAGTGAAGTAAGAGACATTGTTTTAAACCTATCACACGGTACTCCAAAACTGCTCTTGTGATGTTTAAAATCACTAAAAAGTAAAAATAATAAGGCTTGTTGAGTTGATCGTATGGTTAAAGGCAAAGCATCGTGTACAGCTCATTCTGGTGCTAGGGGCTTTGAGGAAAGTTGCGCTTTTTCGATTCATTATTCATCATGCACAGGCTAAATCTTACTGAGTCAGCAATTTTCATGTAAAAAGTATGAATCTGTAGGCGTGCTGCTATAAGTTCACATAAATAATACACATATATCCGACTCATGACAGATTTTTATTTATTATTAATGCATTTTTGAGACAATTCATCAATCAATTACTGCTGCAAGTTATCTAAAATATTTATTTAAAAGGTGTGTGCCTTCACCTAGACATCCTGATGTTAGAAGTTCGATATATTGAACATGACAAATGCACATGGAAAATTACACTTTTGCTTAGAGAAGTGTGATTCGCAAAACGACTGATAGATATTTATTTAATTCCAGATGAAAACGAATTAAACGTGATCAATGTATATTGAAATCACTGAAATTTATATTATAATATGTATACATATATACAAAATAATTTCTGTGTAATGTAGTTCGTGTGTTTCCGTTTCTAATGACTCGAAGAATGATTATGAATAATAAATAACGGCTTAATACGATTTCACTTATAATTCAGCATATCTATTCAATTATATATAGTAATCAAATTTAGTACCGTTGTTATAATAAATTTAGCCGAATTAACAAGAATACGTTTCAAAATTACGAAAGAAAGTCAGGACAAAAGATAATAAATTTAAACAAGTATGCTCATTATGTAAAAAATGTTAGACCACAATATAGTAAAACGTGTACACAATATTGTTCTTAAATATGCTCCTTTTATTTATTATATATAATGACGTTATATCAGTATTCCTTTTTCTATTAAATTAGATCTAGATGAAGACGTCTTTATAAAGCGTTGCCTTTTTTACCATGTAGTTACAATATCTGCATCATTCATGCACATTATACTCATTATCTTTAAAAGCGTTTTGTCACATTAATTACACTTACCCCCCCCCACCCCATATTGGAAAATCCTTTGGTCAAATGTTTTGTCCGGTTTATCTTACCTTGCCCTTTCGAGCAAGTGCAGTACCGCAAATAAAAAATCTCCGGGACTCATTATCTTGTGTCTTTTCACAACGCCAGTGTATGTAATAGAAAAAAAGAAGTGTTTGAACTAGAATATTGGTATATCCATGATAATACCATTTACTTTTACAGAAATTAAAATGTACTTTAACGACATTGGTTGCCGTAGCAATCGTCAACATGAGTGTCTTACTTCCTTTGGTCGTGCACTGGCATCTCTTAAGACAAAACAGAGTCGAATCAGAATGGTGCTCTGTCTCAGACGTAACAAGTCAAGGGAACCCAGACATTTTAGGCCAGCTTATAGTTAAGACTGACAAAAATACTGATCGTAACAAAACATGTGGCAAACTGAGTACAATGTTGAAGACAGTTGTTTTTCTGGTAGTAATGATTTTCTGATTATTTTTTTTTCTTATCTCGTCAAATAAGTTTGAATTAAACAAATACAAGCTTTTTTGTTTTGGCCCTTGATGTTAATGTAAGTTTTGTCGGAAAATAAATGTTATATACGACAGATTCCATTTAAAACTTGTGAAAACGTCATTTTGTCCGTCAATTTTTTTAAGCTTAAAAATTTAAACGACCTTGTAATGTATCTTCATTTACTAGGCCTAGTGAATTAGAATATTGAAAATAGTTCTTAAAAAATTGTTTAAATTCCATTATTCTGACATTTTGAGGGAAAAAACTGCAAATGTATAGCTAATCCGTCGTCAGTTTGACGGAATTTATGTCCCGGCGTTTACACCATGTTAATTACCTGGTATATTTTTTCAATTCAAAGACCAAAATCCAAGGTAAGTGCGGTTTATTATTGATATAAATACTTTTCTATAATAAAAAATAACATCTTCTGCTGTTTAGTTTGATAAATGAAAGAAATTTTATGGATTTCATTTTTGGTACGCATCGTACTGCACATCTGTCAATCGAGTGACGTTTGCAAAATGTGAAGAAACTCAAGCTTGTAAGCACGAATGTTTAATGAGGCTATCTTAGTTTGATAGATACAACTAGTCCTTGTTAAAAAATGCCACCATCGATAGTTTTTGTACGACTTTCGTACGAATTTCTAAAAAAATAATTTGCGAACATAATTTCCGTCATTTTTTTTAGTGACGTTCGACCTATCGCGCACTGTCTTAGAGGGTTACTTTCCGTTGATTCATTCTGATTGGGTTCATTGAGGTAAACACCGAAGTAAACCGAATGCTTAAACATGGCGGGCGGGTAGAAACTGAAATATTTAGGTTGGTATTTTGAAGTTTAATCGTGTCTGTCAACTTTATTTTATGTTAGCAACTAATGACGTTCTCCAAAGATGTTGTGTTCTATCGATTCCAGTCAATTTGTTGCACTGACATTTTGTATTTGAGGTCAGAAATGCATTTGATTCGCCGGCAACAGATGATCGCTTAGATAGGTTCTGTTAATTTTGAAAAACACCCATGCGCATGAATGAACGTCATTTTCTGACGGAATAACTAGTTGCGATCGTATGTTTGTGACGGATATTTTTGTTGCTTATGTCAGGATTTGACAGATATAATATTGTGAACGTCATATCATGACAGAAAAATGAGGCTAACGTCATTTCTTGTGAAGTTGCTAAAGTCATTTTGACAGACAAAAGCTTAATACACTTGTTTTATCTTGTGAGTAGGGCAACTTATTTTATGATTTGAAAGTTTTAGTGTTTTAGCTTAACACCAGAGTTAATTTTGAAACTTAATACCCCATTGTACAAAAATTGTGACCATTTATATTGTGAACATCAGCTTTTGACAGACTTTTAGTTGTGAATGTCATATCATGACAGACAAAGGAGGCGAACGTCATTTCTTTTGAAGTTGCTAAAGTCATTTTGACAGACAAAATTAAATAAACTTGTTTAATCTTGTAGATAGGGCCACTTATTTTATGATTTGAAAGTTTTAGTGTTTTGCTTAACACCAGAGTTAATTTTGAAACTTATTAACCCATTGTACAAACAATTGTTACCATTAATGTTGTGAACGTCAGCTTTTGACAGACTTTAAGTTCTGAATGTCATCCTTTTGATTTACCTTCTTGTTTAACGTCTACACTACTTGAGGTCGTCAACAAAATCTCCTATCCAGGCACGTGTCCTGTTAAAGGCGGCAAAAATCCAAACAAACTTAGAACTGTGTTTTCACAAACTAACTTAGAATTGTGTTTTCTCCCAACTTTTCAGACTCTTCTCATAGACATAGACCTGCGAAATGGAAGACTTGGTCCGTGATGACACCAACAGCCTTGGTGACAGTAAGTCACTATATTTTCTTTTTTTAACCTCCTAGTTACACATTTTGTGATAACTTACTTTATATTGAAGGATCTCTACACTATATATGGTTTAATCTCTGCTGGTTTTATCTGATTTCACACAATATTTAATTAAATTTTTTTAAATCAACCCACATCACAAGAGACCTAGAGGCTAGAGAATGATGTGACTGAGGGTCGTGACAATATCCGGGAGACAAGTCTGGTGTCCCAGCCCAAGCTTTGTTGAAACAAATAAATATTAGTAAAACAATTATAATAACAAATAGAAATCTTATCATTATCTTGATTTTTTCTTCCATTTCATAATTTAGGTACTTTTAAACTGTTTACAATTAAGACAAAAAAGACATATGGTAATGATATTGTTTTGCCTTTATTATTTATCGAACACGCTAAAATGTGCCCCTTTTGGGGAACAACACCACACCTGCCTAAATTCCTAGAATAAACACTAAATTCATAGTGGGATACAAAATTTATTCTTCATTCAGAAGCAAGAGCTCTCTAATCCAGAATTCATTTTGCTGACATATGAAGAAAGATATGTTTGGTTTTCAGGAACTCACAAGAGTAAGTCTGCCCTGTCTCGAAATAAAATGAAAACAGAAGATCCAGAAAGGTACAGAATTTATCTAGATAAACAGAAGGTGACAGCCAAACAGAGGCGTGAGGAACTGAAAAGGGAGTTACAGAAGAAAAAAGGAAATGAGCAATCTAAAGCCAAAAAAGCACATCAAAATGAGATGCAGAGACGCAGACAAAAAAGGTCGGTAAAATCTAGCATTGAATTTTAAAATTAGTACATTTCATAGAATATTTAACACTGAAATGGATCACAACACATGACAAAAATTCACTTAGCTGCGTCATATGAAAATGTAATCTAGACATATAGAACGGATTAAAAGATCGCCGAATTGCCTTTAATGATTTGATAAAATTTGGAATATCCACAAATGGGTCTATGGTGGGCGTCAAGATCACTCTGTGATCTCTTATTTCAAATTGTTTGTGTCAATGAAATCTAGGTCAATTTCGAAACTGGGTCATACTTGATCACTAGTACAAATCTTTCGAAACCATTATTAACACATGTTTAGCAATGTTAGTATTTATAAATAGCTCTTGTTTAAACTTATTCACAGGTATATGGAGAGAAAGAAAGAACAAGGGATAAGCATCCAAAGTTCAACACCTCGTACAAAGGCTAAACCTCAAACTAGGAACATTATTGAAACAAGAAGGGAGTACAATAGACAAAAGAAAAGAAAAGAAAGACAGGAAATGTCGTGGCAAAAAAAGATGTGGATTAGAAAGAAGGACAGAGAAAGAAAAAAGAAAAATAGAAAAGAAGCAGCGAAACTAAAGGAAATTTATCAACATCAACAGGAAGTCCGTTTGCGTCTAAAAAAACAGAGTACAATATAACATCAAAAGTAAGGAAAAGTATACCTAAATCACCAACAAAATTTGCGAAAGTTGTGGATAATTTGCTGTCCAAAGCATCACCAAGGAAAGTCGAAGCTCTAAAACAGCTGAAAATTTCAAAGTCAACTACAAGTGTGCAATATGCCAGAAAAGTACTAGCTATTAAACAGGTGTTGAAAAGTTCAAAGGCTTCTTCTGTCATTGTCGCTGAGCATTTAGTTAAAAGATATAGAGCAGGACATATCGCACATAAAAAAGGTTCTATCATGAAAAGAAAATCTCACGTTGATAGAAATTCAATTCAGACATTTTTTCTTCGGGAAGATATTTCCAGAGTCTTGCCAGGGAAGAGATACACAACAAAGGATGGACCTGGGTATGCGATGCAAGTATCTCTAAAAGCAGCACATTCTAAATATCTAGCTGAAAATCCAACAAAACGTGTGAGCCTTGGCAAGTCCTCTGCATTGCGGACAAAGAATGTTCGTCTATTGAGTGTTTCTGATAGGGAATTTTGTTGTTGTGTTTATTGTGTCAATGTACGTTACAAAATGCTTTGCTTGAGTAGAGCTGTTGTTGACAAGGACAAGAAAAAAACATGTAAAACTGATATTCTAGATATTGTGCTCTGCCCAAAACGTGATGGCCAAAGATATCACGACCCTGATTGCATCAATGCTAACTGTAGTGATTGCATGACTATATGGATACTTTGAATCAGTTTTATTGTACTGTCCCAGATGATAAACAATTAACATGGACAAGATGGGAGTACAGAGAGACAGAAAAAGGCAAACGCAAGAGAGTGGTTGTGACAAAGCAAGGCAACAAGCAGGCATGCTTGGAGGAGTTTGTTGAAAATGATCTTAAGAGACCAGTTCAAGCAATTAGCTATTTCCAACACATTCACACAGCACATTGGCAAATTACTCAGTTCAATCAAATCAAGAATCAACTTCCCACTTGTGACATTTTACAAGTCATGGACTTTGCAAAGAATAGAGAAATCAAATATCAAGATGAAATCAAGGAAGCATTCTATACAGCTGGCCAAATTACAATGCACCCAATCATCACATTTTACAAGGCAGACACTGGTTTAGTAAGAAATTCAAGTATAGTGATCTCAGAGGATAACGGCCATGATTATTATGCAGTTCAGCATTTTTAGGAGATAGTTGATATTGAACTTGAAGAGAAACTTGGAGGCAGCAAACCAAACAGGAAAGTCATCTTTAGCGATGGATGTAGCTGTCAGTATAAGTCAAAGGGACCGTTTGCTGAATTGGCAGATTCAAGTGATGTTATCAATCGAAATTACTATGGTTCTGAACACGGAAAAAGTGAATGTGACGCTGAAACCGGTGTTGTGAATCGGTGTATTGAAAGAGCTATTGAAGCTAATCAGACGGTTATAAATGATGCAGAAGATCTGTACCAATACTGTAAGAAAAATTTGAATCAGACTCGCCGTTTTCAAAAAGAACATTTCATTTAGTGAAATTAGGGGAAATAGACAGAGAGAGACCTGGTATAATGAAAGCACAGACTGTCAAGGACACTAGAAAAGTCCACCAAGTATTGAATCTTCAAACCAGAAACACTTTCAAGGCTCGAAATCTGTCGTGTTTTTGCATAAAGTGTGAAGCTGGCAACCCTGATTGTTTGAATTCAAAGTATGTGAACTCGTATAAAGAGACGACCCTCGTAGAACAAAGTCAAGTAAAACTCAAGCAGGTGATGAATCAAAGAAGTCTACATCAGAGAAACCAAAGGCAGGTAAAACAAGACAATCAGAAGAAAACCCAAAGCAAGGTGAAACAGTGAAACAATCAGAAGAAAAACCACAGACAGGTAAAACAAGACAATCAGAATAAAAACCAAAGAAAGGTGAAACAGTGAAACAATCAGAAGAAAAACCACAGACAGGTAAAACAAGACAATCAGAAGAAAAACCAAAGAAAGGTAAAACAGTGAAACAATCAGACGAAAAACCACAGACAGGTAAAACAAGAGGACGATCAGAAACATCAAATGCAGAAAATGAACGTCAGCAGTATTTCAGTTCATTATTAACCATAATGGAACTATCAGGATCAGAAGGATTTGCAAAACTGAAAGAAGTAAGCTCAGCCCTTCATACTGAAATAAATGAGAAGTATCCATTGGAAACAGTCGACGGTCATTTCAGTTTTGCAGACGGGAAATACACAGCCGATCAGATAGCTCTGACACTTATTCCGGAAGAAATACGCACTGGAGGGATGTTGCCAGTAAATGTTACGGCGGACGGCAACTGTTTGCCTAGAACAGGTAGCATATTGTTATTTGGCAATGAAAGCGCACAAGAAGAAATGAGAGTGAGAAAGCCATTGAACAGTGTCTGAACTCGGACTTGTACATTGATAACAATTATTTGAACAGAGGTGAAAACTTTCCAGAACAAGAATCCAAATTCCTTGATCGAACCTACACAATGTTTTTGGAGCAATATATACCTGGTAACAAAGTAACAAAAACAGACACAGAAAATATATTTGAAGAAGAGACGGTGAAAATCTGTAAAAGAGGTTCATATATGGGCATATGGCAGCTGTTTGCCTTAAGCTCTGTTCTAAAAAAGAAATTCACTTCACTGTACCCAATCATAGGTCAAAGTTCCGTGAAGCAGGTGCTGAATAGAAGCATACTTCCAAGGCAAGGTGACCACAATGAACCAAGCGTTACAGTAATGTGGACATCCACGCGAACAGATATGGTACCACAACATTGGATTCCAAACCACTTTGTGCCACTTTTACCTACCACACGACTGTCATATTTCACTGAAATGATGGGAGATTTGAGTGGCATGATTGACGGCTTCGACTTCAATGACGAAGATGCTGATCTATCCCTGGATGATTCCATGATGGACACCATTCTTACTACTCTGTAAGTTTAGGTACTTTTCGAGCCTTTTAATTTTAGGTCCACTTTTCAAAGAAATAGCAGTGTTATAAACCAGTTGTCGGTGTCGGTTAAGTTTTCTTGAGAATCCATACAGGGGAGATAAGTTTTAAATGTGGTCTTTACTTATGCTTATAAATCTTGAGAAGAAAAGTTTTGAAATGTGAAGTTCTTTTCTAAGTTTTTGTTTATGGTCTCTTTACTTCAATACTCTCATAGCTATTGCTTGTTAACTTGACATGCTTGTATAAATGTCTTAAGTAGAATAAAATTTAGTGTCTTGAAATTTGACTGGGTCAATGCTGGTCACAGATTTGATTTCTCAAAGACAACTACATGTATTTGATAACATCACGAGTATGATGTCTCATTGTACAGGTCCTCGAGCATCCCCACGCCTGATAGCACCGCCACACCTGAGGGAATTGAGGAGATAACAAAGACTGGTGAAGTTGCCAAGTGGGATGATGATACTGACTTGTCAGGACGTGAAATCCAGTCAAGGTAAAGTAAAAGTTTCAGTAACCTTTATAAATATCAATTACAATTTACTTAGATAGATACCTTCAATGACCTGCAAAATGTCAAGTACAGTCTTAGTTTTATAGAATAAATGACATTGGAAGAATCTTACTATAACATCAAATTGATTAATAGATTGAGTCCTGTATGCAATGTTTATTAATGATGCTTTATTGTAGCAACGGTACAAAAGACATTGACCCCACCTTCACGCGTGATGGCACCTCTACACCTGATGGCACCCCCACACCTGAGGACACCGGGCCCACACCTGATGGCACTCCCACACCTGAGGACACTGGGCCCACACGTGATGGCACCCCACACACCGGGCCCACACCTGATGGCATCCCCACACCTGAGGAAACACCGGGCCCACACCTGATGGCACCCCCCACACCTGAGGACACCGGGCCCACACCTGATGGCACCCCCACACCTGAGGACACAGGACCCACACTTGATGGCACCCCAACACCTGAGGACACCGGGCCCACACCTGATGGCACCCCCACACCTGAGGACACCGGGCCCACACCTGATGGCACCCCCACACCTGAGGACACTAGGCCTACACCTGATGGCACCCCCAGACCCAATCAAACTGAGGAGATAACCATTGCTGGTGTTGATGATGTTGACTTGCCAGGACGTGAAATCCTAAAAGGTAAAGTAAAAGTCTCAATAACCTTTATAAATATAAACAAGTAGAGCGCATACATGTATGCTCTCTTGGGCCTCTTGTTTCTGTTTTCAAGAGTCATTCATGCCATTTCAAGATTTTAAATACGACATCCCTTGAATATGTAGTCAGTATATTCAATTAGTTCAAATACATTAACAATTGTGTTAAAAATTATTAAACCAGGTTTAGAACAGGAGACTATGTCCTAGTTCAACATGGAAAGTGTTTATTACCTGCAGTGGTAAGTCTTGTTACAAGTAACTGGTTGTTTTATTTTCAGCTTTTGGTACTGTTTAAGTGATTTATTGTTGGACATCATGACCATTAAGATTGTTTTATATAGTTAATACTCACAGTGAATTTTTAAAGGCTGTTTCCCAATTGGAAATGAACTATTTTTCCCAAAATATAAGCTTTTTTCCCCCGAAAACTGGTAGTTTCCCAATTGAAAGAAATATATATAAACAAAATCTAACATATACATGTACCGTATATTGGTCTTTTGGATTGGAAACTGCCACATTGTGTCACTGTGAATTTTTAAAGGTTGTAAACTCCCAATTGGAAATGAACTATTTTTCCCAAAATATAAGCTTTTTCCCCCGAAAACTGGTAGTTTCCCAATTGAAAGAAATATATATAAACAAAATCTAACATATACATGTATATTGGTCTTTTGGATTAGAAACTGCCACATTGTGTCACTGTGAATTTTAACTCTAGAACAGTTGCTTTATTCAGGTTATACTTATAAGTTGTTGGTTTTTATATCGTTCCTACCATTTTGAATTTTTCAAATTTTAGACTTATTGCGCTAATTTTCCAAATTCAAACGCCACAATTGGTTTTATAATTGATGTTTTGCAAAAAAATCACTGACTCATTTCGATTTATCATTGTTTTTACATGCATGTTATCATTATTACATCTTATTGCTGCTATACATCTGATCATTTCTATATCATAATCATTTCACCAGGTTTCAATTTTATTGTTTTCAGCCAATGGCTGCATGTTTTTTCTGTTCAAAATAAAACTGTGCTTAGATATGATCGTGAAATTAGATGCAGTTTTCTCGGAAACCATCTGTTAATGCTAGAAAAAGATTTTTTGAAGTCAATATAAACAGCCAGTCAGATTGTTAGTAAACAAGCTTTTAAATGAGAGATTTTATTTCAGATTCAGATTCATGAGGCTTACTTACTCTCCTGCAGTATGTTATATATTATATTTTCAAAGGTCAGATTTTAGTGTGTCTGCACACTCTAACATGGCTCACTGTGGATGACTATTTATTTACTAGGCAAATGTTTTTCAGGTGGACAGCTGGCCATGGGTTAAGTTTTTTAGCCGTAGGCAGAAGAAAGGGATGTGGACTTTGAACGAAGTCCAACACACATTGGTTCATCAGGATATAAGATGCATACTTCAACCACCTGAAATAGTAATGTGCGGAGGTACAAGACTACTGTATCAATTCAAAGGTAAATGTCTGTGATATCCTAAGCTACATTCACAGTTTTCGCTAGAGCTTTCTGAAAGCTTAACAGTTTAGTTTATATTTCATAACTTGACTAGTTGTAAAGAAATAAGTTACTGGCATGTTTATATTGATATGGAAGTGTTATAAATGACTAGTGTAATATTATAAATATAACATGGCTTTATAACATGCCCACAAAGTCGTCTATAGTTTTTTTTAAAGAGAAAACAACATTTTTGCTTTTTCGAGAAATTTATTTTCTGATATACACATGTCAAGTGATAAGCTGCAGGCTAAAATTTATCCTCCTAACATTGTCACTCTAATAAATTTAGTTTCTGCTTTCTTTATTTTCAGATGACTATATTCAACCATAGGCACACGTCAGCCGGCAATGTTCATATAAACCAGTTGATTTTGTTGTTCACTTTTATGACCAATAAAAGTTGGAGTTAAACATGGTTGTTTCTGGATATATTCTGGATGAGACACAATTTTGTATGTCAATCATCATAGAGATCGTCTAGGCTAGAGAAATAGTGTCTTGCCTAAGGACACCCTGGCCGAGGATCGAAACCGGGACCTCCGGATTCGAAGTCCAGTGCGTTACCAACTGTGCTAATGCCGATTCCATTGCAAGACTAAAATACCTGTAACCAAGACTTGAAGATTAACAAATCGATATGAAAGTGATTTGAAATGATATGCATGTACATTCAGCAGCTATGGTGAGCCCCAAGGCCCCTTCACACTAGGGGAGCCTTGTTAACCAACCATTTCCAGTGTAAAAGCAAATAAAAGCAAAACATGATGAGATGAGATAATGGTTGGGGGGAAGTCTCAGTAACTAGTCTAAGTCCATACAAAATTTTGCTATAAATAAATATAATAAGTAGGAAGAAACTTCCGTCGATTTAGTGACCTACAATGTATGAACATTTACATCCACTGTACATAGTTCTGAGACTTCCCCAACCCAATACGGTGAAGTGTGAGAAAAAAACCGTCTACCCTAGCACTATGTTACAAAGCACCATAGCATGTGCATAGGCAGTTAATGGGTTAAGGGCAACATACATGTAGCTGATTATCAACACAAGCAGTGAATGGGTTTTTAAGTATTCTTTTATATTGTTCCGTCAAAAAATTATGTTGGCATATAATTGGTCCGTCAAAAATGATGTTTGCAAAAACATTGTTCCGTCAAAACATTATGTTAGCAACAATTTTTCCGTCAAAAAATGACAATATCAACATAAAAAAGTTGCATAAACCTGTATTTGAAATGTTCTTTGCAGAAATCATACTTACTTTTGATATAGTTTTCAATAATTTGTTACTTTAATAATTTGGTTATTAATTTAATGAAGGTAATCTCTTTAATTTTCAAACTTTTTGAAGTTGTGAACATAAAAATTTCCGTCAAATATTCAGTCAAAAAATGACATTAGCAACCTGAAATTTAAAATTCGATTTAAAAGCAAATAAAACGTGATAGATTTTTTTTTCAGTGTTTTGACACTATATTATCACAATTTTGTCATTTACTAAAAAAGAAATCCTGATTTTTTTTACACAAACTATTATTTTTCTTTGGGACCTATTCCACACTCTTAAATGGAATCTGTCATATAATAAAATTTAATAATTGCAGATCTAGGTGTTATATAAATGACTATGTTATGATCATACAAGTAAAAGGTATTGATATAAATATATGATTGACACTGTTATTTATGTTTAATTATTATTCAATGTTTTAGAATATACATGACAGCTACGACAGTGACGCTTGTCCAGGTATGTTCTTATCATCTTTTAACACAATCAAAACTTGTTCTCCTTTCTTCAACGTATATCCTATTTCAATGAACAAAAATTTGAAACAGAGTAAGCAACGTCACCCGCCTCAATCGAAACATCCTCGACTGTTATTCATAATAAGCTCAGAGTTAATACGGATTGAAAGTAGCTCTACCACGTGGTTAAGATGTACACAAATCAGGGTGTAATGTATAGCAATTGTATTTGACAGCAAAAGGAAAATATAGTCTATTTTAGTAAACTTAACATTGAGATTATGTCTCACAATCATAATCAATTTAAAAATGCTCAAGGATGTACAATTATAACAAAATCCGAATAAATGTAAACAGGTAGACATTTTGTACTTTCGGTTTCTACAACCATAAAATTAAAGTATTACATAATGTACTATGTGCAGTTATGTCTGTAAATTTAAAGTGGACTTTTTAGGTGGATTTGTTTTCGATAAATTGTTATAATTTTAGTCTTCATTTCCTTGCATTAAATTAATATTTGTTAATATGTTTAGTTTCTCATTAGCGTAGTTTAGACCGAAATACCGTATCCGTTCTTAGTATTCTTACTACTTTGTTCAAGGTCTTTATCCGAAGACTGACCGAAAGGGCCGAAAATTTGCAATAGCACCGCCTAATGCAAGCTTTACATAAACCAAGAACAGTATCATTTCAAACGTATGATGTATAGATTTGAACTTTCATTGCAAAATCATGATACATAAATGATAAATTCAACAAAGACATATAACTTGCTCCTAAGTATGTGTCATGTGTAACACTTTTGATTGAAAAAGAAAATACATGTTAACATGTTTATTGTATTTTCTAGTTCCTTCAATTTCAATTGATGTGGTTACAGAATAGTATAATCAGCCTTAGAATATGATACATGCTGCTTTTGAAGTCTTGGCTGTGAAATGCAGGTTCATTAATCACCTATTTTCAAAATTTAATTTAGTTTAGTCCCGCCCATTGTTGCACACACTTTCTTTTACCTTGAGACCATACGCCAATGTTCATAGAATGGCACGAAAGTGTCACACTAAATGTCCAAGAATGGCCACCGTATGAATACATTTGCGGTTGTTTCCAAATAAAAAAAAACTTAATTATTTTCGTTTTCTAATTGTTGAACTGTTAAATTCTACTAGAGGGGTGTGGATGGTAACTTTCCCTCCATGAACAGTCAAAAACATGTTCAATGTTTGTCGATTTTGGAATTATTTAGAGAGTCCGTTTTTCTCTACTTTGTTAATCAATAAATTGGAATTTAAATAATAAAGTTTCAATAAAAATACTTATGTCAATCTAGGAAACATTTACATTCCAGAGCCGGAGATGCTTGCTTTAGGTATCAAAGCATTCAACTTCACAGCTTCAAAGAAAGTTGAATCTATGTTACATCTTGATGACATATCCTCACATGCTAAACCAGGTATGTTATTACTATCAACACATACATGCATTTGCATTAACAAAAAACACATTATTCTGCATTTTTGCCTGCAAGTATGTTGACGACCGGTAACACAGTTTTACACAGCATTCAATGGCAATATTTTTTGGACCTTATGTTACATTCAAATGGAATATTCTGATACAAAACAGGAATAGTCGGCAGTTTTAGGGTTTTTTACAAAAACAAATCGCTTAAAAATAGCAAATGTTAAATGTTTTAACCAACATTAAATAGGAATTTTAGGCCTTATACCATACAGAAATAATCGAATGTTTAGGCAACTGACATCAATAATCATTATACATGAACATATGATTATAAGTATAACCAATACCTTTGCATAGGTAAAATAATCTGGAAGAACGGTAATACCTCGGAAGCATTAATCGCAACAAAATTACATGAAAAATGAAAACTCGCTTCGATTGAATCTGTACATGAGGGATAAGAAAATGTGCAACATGCGCACTAGCACGGGCTTGAGCGCTACTCAACGTTCAACACTTGAAAGTGCTGAAATGCTGGAATTATCTTGACGGAAACAATTCCAAAGCAAACCACAAATGAAAAAAAATAATATGATCACTTTTCTAAAAAATAACAATATGCTTGTCTTAATACGAATACCTGGAGCATACACTTACATAATTGTATCAACAATTGTTACTCATGAAATACATTTTTTTCAGTTCCTGGGAAAAATACAAAAATATACTGGAGCCATTTTACAGATATAATTATACATCATATGAAATACATCCAGGAAGAAGGAGTTATCTACATCAAACAAGCTGGCTATTACTTTGTGTCGGCTTTGCTTACAGTAAGAGCTAACAACATGACTTCGACTGATACCGTCAATAACTCCGAGGATGCAATCCGTCACGTTGTTCACGTAATACACCACAAGGATGGGGCTGAACAAGTTCTTCTTGAACACTTCAAATTCATGTGTGAATTATCCTTCGGTCATGCAGAATGGTCAAGTAATATGGGAGCACCTTTTTACTTAAATGAGCAGGACAGAGTATACATGGCCACATCACATCCATATAATATTGTCAGTGGTCACAGTAATAATTATCTAAGCATTCATACCATTTTGTAAGACCAAAGACACAAAACCAACAACATAAAACAAACACAACCAAAAAACGCTAAAAAACAACAAAGTTACCAAGCAAATAAACAATAAAAAAGAAAAACAAACGGAAGTATACAATTTGTTATATAGGTAGAATTCCGTCTGGACATTACTGTTATTAAGTTTATTCTTTATATCTTTTTTTACATTATATGTGTGATATCTAGTTAATCATCTTTCAGAATTTCATTTTTTTTTAGTTACTCCAATCGTTTTCTCGTTCAAGGCACAGCACTTTTGTTTTTGTGTAGCATATGCCGCCCTTCTGGGAATGACACTAACATGACGTATTGAAAGTTCCAAGATAACCGCCAGATAGACACATCTGCGTATGCTTCAAAATCAAAGTTTCAAATCAAATTTTCACAAATTCATTTTAGATGTTGTATCTGCTTATGCCGAGGTTAGGTGGCGTAGACGATAGCTTGTAACTACTACTTCTGTCCATGTACTAAATGTTCGAGCCTGAAACATTTTCATTTTGCTGCGTTTTGGTTTCTTTATGAAAATTGTTTTTCTCTATTTTGTTACCATTTTGTGTTTCTTTATTTTTAACTTGTTTATGCAGAATCATTTATATACACTCACTATTAATCGGATATGTTTAGCACATACAAGAATTTCTTATTTTTAATGTATCATTGCATCTTTGTAACAATGTCAAGCAAATAATTGGATGCACGTAAAACAATTTATGATAGATATATACATATTTACCAAGTCATAGATATTTCTAAGAAATAGCTCATTTACAAAAAATATTTATAATTGAACAAACCACCGTGCCGGTGAATTATATAGACACATATCATGTAACATTTCCTACGAAAAATGCTGGCGTTGTCTTAGATAAAGGTGGTTTTCAAATAACAAATGATTTTAGTCAATCAACATTGTATATGATAATTATTACATTCTTTTCGATATACGCATTACGCCAATGTCTATCCAATCACGCAGACATCTGTATTTAACACTGATATTCCTACGACTGTGAGGAATGTTTATCCGTGATATTGACCTTTTAACTTTGCAATTGGCACGATGTTAGATAAAGAACGAAATTTGTTTGATCTGATTTTCTTTTTGGACTTCTAAAATGAAAACGTGGTTTAATAAAACAATTTGAGTGTTGTGATATTGACAGATTGACAAACAAACCTAAAATTGACAAGGTAAGATCAAGTAATGGGTCATGCATTTGTACTTCACATCACATAGAAATCACATTGTGCAAATGTTGGAAGTTCATTAGTTACATGCTATAAGATTTGAAATAAATGTTATTTAAATTAAGTTATGTGAACTTAAAATAAAATATAAGGCAAAAAAATGACCAAACAAAATGCTCTAAAAATGTAGAAACTTGTAACATTTCATTTGCCATTCTTAAACACATCTAGTAATCCCATATAGCTTCTGTCATTTTTGTATATAGACATTAAGCGATAGGTTTTTGAACCAAAATAGTGACTTAAATATAGTGATTTTTTACAATGCAAATTTGATAATGTCGCTCTTACTGAATTGATTTGTTTTCAATGTTTTAACTTATTTAATATTTTATGTAAAGTATGAGAGGAATGTACAGGAAAAACAGACAAGATATGCAAACCATGTAAACTCAATAAATAAAGCATAATTATTTAGAATTCCCTTTTATGTTATAAAGTATTACATGTATACATAAAAGTAAACGAAACTTAAGCTTTTTGAAAAGGATTTCATGGTTGAAATACTACGTTGTCGACTTTTTAAAATCTTTTGCGCATTTTACTAAATGTATGTCACCATTCTGTCATTAAGTACAATCATGAAAACAGATTTGTAGTGACAATATACAGTGTTTCAATATAAAATGTCAACAGTTATATTTGCAATTTGAGTGGGAAATAATCAACTAAGCATTAATGCTTAATAGAGAGGAAAAGTTTTGAATCATTACCGAAAGACGTGTTATAACCTTATAACGACTAACACTTGTGAAACAATTTTCATAGAGGTTCTCTGCCTTAAAATGAAGACTATAATGTCACGAAATGGCACGAAACAATTGCATTGCATAATTTTGTCCCTCTTCTGCACATCGAATAGAAACATAATATTTTGGCAGAGATAGTCACTGTACACGCACCTGCTCAAAAACATATGATCGCGGTAAAGCTGCAAATGTTTGATTTTGTCGAATACTTGACATCATGTATTACGACATGATAAAATATTTGGGCCACATCAGGAACGTAAATATAATACAATATTGAATCTACGGCAGCCACAGTTGACACATTTTACGATTACATTTATTATGCTACAGTCGTTGAAAATATGTCAAGCTTTATTTATTGTCTTTTAAAAATATATTTTCTTTGTCTTTGCTATTGACTATGCTTATTTCGACTTCTCAAACATTTATTTCAGTAAAATATGACCATTCTGTTCCTCATGCGCCAACTTTATATCGCCCTGCGCTCAACATCGAACCTTTTACCCCACTGTTGTCTTTTCGCGCCACTACTTTCGAAAAATAGCGAAAAACAAATTTAAGAAATCCATCAGGAGTAGTTTATTTTGCAGAGGACAAGCTGTTGTTACGGGCAGATATTTTTTCTTATGCACTTTTTCAAAATATCGGAAGAGTGGAGCGTTTCTAGGGTTGGAAGTTCAATATTCAAGGAATTGTCGTTTACTCTCTAAGCGGAAATGTTGTCGAGAATTTAACTAATTTTCTTTTCGCAACAGCTTAGATCAATTAAAGCATTTATCAATCCTACACGGAACTACATTTATTGATTTTTGAAAATAAAATCTTAAATGGATTCGAAGACAATAACATAAACAATATTTACAATTAGCTTTTTAAGTTGGCCTTGCTCTCTATCTCGGAAATGTTGACGCCCGTACACAAAAGGTTTGAAATTAAGGTGGAGTTTGCCGGGCGTGGTAAAAGGTATATGTACATATATCAATAATCAATTTCATTTGAATGTGGCCAATCAACACTGAGACGGAATGATTGACTGATGTAGACATATGCTGCTTAAGAGTTACATAAATAACAATAGGGTGAGGATTGAGCATACTTTGGAAACAAATGACAATAAAAAATTAATATAATTTAAGACTTTCCCATGCGTTAAAGTCAGTTGAATACCGATTTTTCAATATAATTGATAGTCATATGTCACTGATCCACTATATTAAGAGGATTTTGTTTCGTTTTTCGTGAAATATGGAATTTATTTTCACGAAACATAATAAAATGCCACATATTTTCATGAGCCGGGACGGCGAGTGAAAATATGTGGCATTTTATCATGTTGAGTGAAAATATATACCATATTTCACGAAAAACAAAAAAAAACAGCCTTTTTATTTAATTTCATTATCAAAGAAAAATGGTTACGAACCCCCTTGCTTGCAGCAATTGTACAGTGCGCAGTAATATAATATTTATAGATGCGTCTTGTTTTGCACGCGATATTTGGCGCTACATTGTGGCGTCACGTAACAAACTCTTTAAACGTCTGTACAACGTTAATAACTGTATTAAATATATTGGTGTTCAGATTTATTTTCTTAGTTAGACCATTTTCTATCATTCTAGATAGTTTTCAAAACAAAATTCAACAAAAAGTTGTTTTGTATTCATCAAATTTTCAGACACAATGGCGAAAGAAGTCATTTAAAATAAATATGAGTTTTCACTCCGCTTACATTCATATTTATTTTTAAAAATTATGATATATATTTGACTGATACAGCACAATATTCCATGTATAAAATTAAATAAATACCGTTATATACTTAAGCTATTCTTTTTCATTATGTAAGACGTTTATTTTCTAACTTACATTGAAATTGTATAAAGTTGTTAATGAATTTGTGGATCAAATGAAGCTGTTGAATGAAAGCCTATACGTATTGTTTTTGTGTTGCATTTAAAAGATGACCAGGTTTTCAGACAATGCGATCCGACTTCCTTTGCAGACAGATAGTTTGAAGGTGGGGTATTTTCAAATGTTATGCTCTACAACGTAAAGTAATTTAATTTTGCTGCAAAAATTGTTACCATGTCATAATTTTCTTAGCATAATGTCGCACTTTTCGATCATAGATACTAAACAATAATTTAAATTATTTAAGTCTGCAAGGCTACATTTTAACTAAGATAATATTTTCTGATCTAATCATTTTCGAAAGTTTATATAGTTGAATGTATTTATATCATGTATTGTGTATGTTAAGGAATGAAATATGTTTAACATAAAGCTTTATTTTGGATTGAAAATGACTATTTTATTCTTAACCATTTTTTGTTCATCAACACCCTCAAAATCCAATTGGACACGTTGATATAAACAATGTTCATTTTTAACATTTGGTTATGACACAAATTTAATAATAATACAATTTGTATGATAAGGACTATTGACATATACTTTATATAAAATAAATTTCACATGTCATATAGTTCCTATCACCTGACTGAACAATGTTTTACAATTATGTTTAAGATACTAGACAAAATATATGCCGGAAAAGGCAAACGTTTTTTCGAACATTTTTACGTAAATATGAAAACATTTTGTGTTTTTGTAAAAGTTTCATACGTATGTGCCGTTAAATGACATGACGTAAAGTATGCGTAATGTTAGATTTGGTCAGTTCTTACTTTTGTAGTATGAAACGTTAGTAGTTTGAATAGACGTATAAAGCAGACACAGCCTGTTGAACTTTCTTTTTGTAGTATAGTACTCTAACCGATATGTCTGTGTTATTCATTTGCTTTTGTTGTTTCTTCTCTTTGACTTTTGCAGTTAAACACGGAAAAGAATTATAGTAATGACATACATTGGCAATATAAATATAACTAAAGACTGTTAGAAGATGAATATATTTTCGATTATTTTGTCTGTCCTTTAAATTGTTCTTTTTATTCTATTTCAGAAAAGACATAAAAGTTACGACAATGATATGAACGCAGGTATTACTTGCTTTGCTTTCTTGACAATTAGTTTTGAACGCAGACCTGAATATGTTTTGATTAAATATTGAACTGAAGTATGTATACTGTCAGTTTGTACGAATAGTATAATACTCCATTTGAAAGCGTTCCGGCGTGAATTTCATCACATCCCCCACACCCACAATCCCTCCCCAATCCCCAACCCCCAAAATAGGCAGGAAGTGTTATTTATTTCGTTATGTTAGTCTATTTGTTAGCCAACGCAGGGTAACATAATTGTGAGAAATAGTGCATGTTTATCAGTTACGTTTTAATGCAATTAAGTAAAATAATAAAATATATGGTATAACTTTTCAATATGGCTTCTACCTTTTAAACAACAACACTTCTTTAAAAGGAAAACAAAGTATTATGATAGTAAAATTGTCTTTATTTGTATTAAGGTCTTTTACATTTTGAAATTGTGTTATTTTTTATTCCAGAATATCTATCATTAAATATCACGCAATTTGGTTGCAACATTACAATATGTTTACTTTACAAGAATAACTACCTGGCTACATTTTTGACAGCGACCTTTGTGTTTCGTTGATATTCAGAAGTACAATCACTCATTTAAAATTTAACTGTCCTGCAATGCGTTATGCCGGAAACATTTCCCGTTCTACTAGTGTCATACGATACTTAAAAGAGTAGAACACAATCAGGTACTTTTTACACTGCATCAGGGTGTCTTGGGGTAATTAAACCGACCCGACTTTACATCTAGTTAAAATTTAATCAATAGAGAATTATGCACAAATATTATCAAGATTTTAGTTTTTCACTATGAACTAATCAGGAATGTTTTCCTACAGGTAAATTCACGAATGGCCAGATTCTTGCTATTACAGTCATGTTTTCAGAACATAGAGGCTTTGTCAGCGTCTTGAGAAAGAAAACAAAACTTTTTCAGATGTTGTCCTTCTAAGTGATTGCGGGTATTTAAACTATTTGGTTCAATCTATTGCTTAACTTCTTATAGAAGATGAAAACTTTAATTTGCCGATTCATTTTATAGACAAGTTAATGTGATTTTAATATATCTATTTTAAAAAGGACCACGTGCGCCGGACAGAAATACTTTGATAATATAGGTATGTGAAAGAAAAGCAGAGGATGTTTATAAATTGTATACATTTTTGTTAACTGTACGTTCTTTAAAAACTTGATCTTTGAAAAAAAAAGTTGATATCATTGAGAATTGTAACGGGAATGAATTTATGACATAGATAATTAATAACAGTTCGAGCTGTTATAAAGCTACATATTGTTTCAGGTGCCACCCTAAAAACTTTCACAGTGATAATATTTTGTTATTTCTTAAATGAACACAACTAACCTTAAGATACGTCTAGTAATTGAGTAGATCAGACTAACTTGGCCATGATTCTTGAATGTTCCTGATCTCAAGTTATAATGCTGCTTGATATTTACTATAACAGGATATATAGATTTTTACACATTTTCACATTTCTTTTTTCACAATAATTATATAGGAAAGATTTCTTAAGAAGACTAAAATTGACATTGATCCATGAATGACAGTGACATTGAAGGTAAAATTTTTGAAATGTGCTTTGTCTAGGATTGGATTATTTTTGTCATAAACTGACGAATTGTCTTTATGCATGCGCGTTATTTCCATTTAGAAAAGACAGCTAATATAAAAATGAACATAAACTTTATTTGACCACGACATTCAGTGTTCTAATAAAAAGTGTAGCATTGTCCCCGCTTAATGGCGGCTCTTTTAATTATCTTGGAATAACATTATGCTGAAATTACGTTTGTAGGTATCCATGTAGACCTCTCTTAATGACACAATTCTTGTTGACAGACGCAGCTTGAAAAATGCGCTACTAAGAGAGTCACACAAAGACACGTTTAACTATAGAGATAGATTTAGGACAGTTGAAGCCTCGCTTTCATGTCCTTCTTTCAGACAAAGCCGAAATTTTAAAGAATCATGTTTAAATGTATGTAATTGTAAAAAACAACAATTGTCACATTAATTCATCTGACATTGAAAGATAAACATACAACAATCATGTTCTGTTCAATCTAACACAATGTTGACATACATGATTGTACATTGTATAATGTATCACAAATTAATTTTCTCAATAATATGTATAATTACAAATATTCATAATTACAATTTAATAGATAAAATATTGATTTTATTGCAGTATCACACTTATTAACCAGGAAAATGTTATTTTTTACTATAACTTCATAGTTTTTAAGATATCTACCTCACACTTCAAATACATATTCCTTATCGTCAACCATATCTATTGTGACAAGGTTCATCACTCTTGAAGCACTATTTTCAGATTAATTTCTCTTTGAGCTTAGAATTTTCTTTAAGAAATATTGCAACTTCTTTACATTTTAAAGTATCTACTTCAAATATATATTTCTTATCATTATACTCATGTTGTGTGACATGGTTCATAACTCCAGCGTGACTATTTCCAGAATTATTTCCCCTTGAACTTGGAATTAATGTTTACAAATTTATTTTTAACTATATTTTCTTGTCATATGGATAAGAGTTATAAAACGCAAGCTCCTGTATTCCCAGAAAAGAATTATCCTAATTTAATTTTTGAACTTGTTCTTTGTCATAACTCACATAGTGCATGACAAGGTTTATAACTCTGGCATCTTATTTCTTTCTTTTCCATTAAAGCATTGAAATGTCTGTTTAATATCTAGTGAGAACGTCATATGCATCTTCTGTTGTGCAAAAATATAGAACGCTTGAGTGCTTTCTTGATACTGATATAGAAATATATTTATATCATAATTGATTATTCTATATAGTTTTGTCTTCTTTACTGCGCCCAGTATTTAATTAGGCGAGTTACGCTGACTCCTGTGACAGCTGTTATTTTTTTCAGTACTAATTCCAACTATCATTTTTACATGGGAGGATGGCTGATTAATTTCATACATAATTGTGAATATAAACTCATTTTTCCCTTTTTTATATTGGATATATTATATTATCCTAGTACCTTTAGTAAAATTATATTAAGCTTATCTGATAACTCTATACTTCATCTATTACTCTATTAACCCATACAATGACCATTTTTGAATTATATTGGTGAGAATGTATACATGTATTAGAGTATAAAGCTACATGAATAAGGTAATATTTATTTTTCTTTTAAATTGTATGGTTACATTAATTGAACAAATCTATATGGCTATATTTTTTTGTAATAGTGCCCCTACCAGTATTGATTTATTACATTACATTAGTATTGATATTTTTACAGTAAAAACTTTCAATTAAGACCACCATTGGTCCTGAACCAGAGTGGTCTTAAGTGCAGGATGGTCTCCATTGAAAAAAATATAATATTTATCAGTTGATTCATTACATTTATCAACTTTGTAACCAGGAAGTGAGTTAATTTATTGATAAGCAAAGAAAAGTCAAGTATAAAGTCTGGTAATACTACAAAACTTGGGTAGAGGGTGTATTGAAATGTTTGATGCAGATATGCAAGCCTATTAACTGCCTGAAATTCTTGTTTTATTTTGTTTCTATATATTGTTTTAGTCCTTTTTATTTTTGTTCCATTTGCAGAGTATTTTAATGCTAGCTGAGCAAGACTGGGCTTTATATCTAGTTTGGGTCAATATTTAAGTTGCCTTGTAATTGTGATAATTGTTTCATTGTCACGTTGAGACAAAATTCCTATACATTTAAAAAAATGACTATTACAAGGTCATTGAATATGAATTGATAATGACAAATGTTTAGAATAAAATACAAAATCTGCATAAAATATAGATTCTGTCAAAAAATTTCCTCAGTTCAATTCAAATCAATTCAATATTTTCATTAACTGAAAGTTACCACTAATATTTAGACATTTGTGTGGTCCACAGAGGTTTATGATGTTTCATGTTGCGTTCATTGATCTTGTTGATCTTGTTTATCATATTTCAAGTGATTTTAATCATATAATTAAAAAAAGACACATGTAAAGTTTCCTATTTCATTGAGCCATTATTAAATGACTTGATTATTGTGGTTCACATTATGTGATGCAGGTAGAAAAATAATCAGCAAAATAATCAGCATGCATGGACAATAGGAAGATAGGCTACAATAGACTGTGTTATCTAAAGGCACAGAATGCCATATAAATGGGAAAGAAAATCTTCTTTAAAATGTTGGAACATTTCTCTATTAATGTTTTAATAATGGTCTTAAATACTATAAGATATTTACCATGTAAATAGTGCTGAAAGTGAAATTAATTGTCAAGGACACTAACAAAGTTAACAAAGCGATTTTCGATACCTTGATAAATACTCGTAATTCATGTTTGTAATTTAAAATCACTTTTACTCGGTACTCATTATGAAAAAAGAAAAAGATGGTTCAGATATATTGCCAATGAATATGTTTTATATGTCTGAAAATTTTTTTTTAAAGATTTTCCCACAATAAATCACCCCTTTCCCAATCTTTTAATTTTTAATTTTACCCGGGGTTCCCCAAATTTCCCAAAGGTTTATTTTTGGAAAAACATTTTTAAAAGGGAAATACGCAGGAAAATTAATGACAAAAATTTTAAAAAGGAAATTGTATGCATTTAAAATCCTCAAAAATTGACTTTTTTTTAAAAGCCCAGCATAAATTTTCTGTTTTAAATTCTATTTATTTGATTTAAAGTTTAAATTTTGTTACGGAATTTAGCCCCCAACAGAATCGCCAATTTATTTTTTTAAAAAAATATGTATTAAAAAAACCCCCTTGAAATAATTGGTAGGGCCTTTAACAATAAATATTCAGCATTGGGGGGCAATGAAAATTTTGGGCAATTTTTTGACTCTAAAAACAAAAAAACTTCTGTTTTTAACTATGCCGTTTGTAGAAGCTGAGACAGGGATGAGTGGGGGGCTTTGAAACGGTAACTTGCA